CCCCCATTGAGAAACGCATCCACAGAGGCAGTTAACGAACTTCATGGACAGGACCACTTCATTTTGACAACTTTCTTCCTAAACATCTATTGATATTTCTGAAATCAGTGATTTCTTTCCTGGAAATCCGGAAGCTTCAGATTCGGCCAGATCAGAGAGAGAGTTGGAAGGGAATCAAGAAAATCCAAAGCCATAGTTAAAAAGGGGTTACAGCCGTAATACGACACGTAGTAATACGAGGCGGAATACCTTTCTTTTTTTTAATTCAGGGGAGAAATGAGACATTTTGGCTGGGATAGGTGCAGGCGTCTCTGCCTATATTTCAAGCCTAGCAATTCCACCTTTAAAAAAATAATTTTTTACTGAATTTCCCTCGTGTTTCCTGCCGATTCTTCTGCCAACTCTCTGCTCCTTTGATTTTCCGGTGATGGCGTCATTTTGCAATATGGGCGATCCTCACCGTCTTCATGCACTTTCTTCCGATGTCGATCTAATCTCGACAGTCTCGAAATGGCCTTGAGGTGGTATTGCTTCAGTCTGCTTGGTGACGAACGCGTTTTCCTCGTTTGCTTTTCCACTGCAAGCAGATCTGGGATGCACGAAATATGGAATATGCTTATGCTCACCAGGCATTTACCTTCTAGGGGATTGCACCTGGCAATTGCGTCAAGTGCGATACCATTCCGAAGGACAACGTTCACGAGGAAATGTATAAATGCACAGACTCGGTTGAACTCCTATGCAGAGCCAACATGGAAGCATCAGCGCTCATCATCTTTTCCTTCTTGCTTTTTCCCTATGCACTGGTACGTCCCGGTCCGTCTCAGTCCGTCTTGCCGGTCCGTGGGAGAACAGGCGACTGATCTCGTTCGTTATTGCTATTATAGAGCGAAGAAGGGGAGAAGGAGGTCTACCATGATCCCCCTTCGTTCCCATCGACCGATTGGCATGGTTTGCCTCTCGCATCACACCCATTTCCCTGTAGTTTTAAGCAATGGAGATTGTGCACTGAATGTCTCTTGCAGGGGGTCGGCATCCTCCTACATGCGGAACCAGGAAGCAGCTCTCACCGGGGCAGTCCTTCCCCATCGTCAGCGTGAATCGCCCCGAAAGGCACGATCATTATTCTTTTTGCTCCTGGAGGTTCAAGGTGAGTTCTTCGCATTCCTTCTTTCGACTTCTTGCGAAGCACGTGGTCACAATGCCATCTCTCTCTCAGTGTTCAGAAGACATGGCGCTTCAGTGCTCTTCTTTCCAACTCCCGCAATCACGCGGGTGCCGGGAGTCCGCCTTCGTCTATAATGGTAGAAGGTGAGTGATATCACTTGCTCACAATTGATATCCCACACCTAATCACTGGAGGAAACGTGGAAATAAGAGCGATTTTTCAGGCTTTGCGGATCGTCAACGGAACTTCTGAGCCCTAAGAACGTGGGAAAACGTCTTGAAGTGACCCTGTACAACATTGGAAGAAGCCGACCTCGGTTCACCTGTACTGTTACCTGCAGTGAGTCCCATACTGCCTAGAATTCAGACTTCGGATGAGACTCAACGATTGCCCCTTTCACTAGGACCCGAATGAAAAGTGTTCAATAACACTGTCTTTCCTCATAGGCTTTGGAACAACGCCGACAACCACACAACCGACAACCACACAACCGACAACCACACAACCGACAACCACACAACCGACAACCACAGAGCCCATAACCACACAGACGACACCCTCCTCGGCTACCTGTAGTAAGTCTACATTTCTCAGAAATGCGGCTCCTCACAAGGACCTAGCAACACCACAGAGGTATTGATCTTTCTCAATCGTTCCAACACGAACACACTAGAGTGCGGAATCTCTCAAAGCGGCAAGAGATACGTAGGAATCCAAGCTGCTAACGAGACCGATTTGGACCGAATCATCGGTGGAACTCCAGTTCCTAATCAAGGGAAGTACCCGTGGATGATCCACATGACAGACTTGAGCTTTTTCTGTGGGGGATCCCTCATCAACGATCGATACGTCCTCACTGCTGCCCACTGCATTGGCTCAAAGCGAGTGTCTTTTCTCTTTCCTCTGACGTTTTGCCAACGAAAATGTCCCGACTTGGGTTCATTCCATTAGTCCTTCGACCAAAACATTTTTCGTGACACTGGGAGACCTAGACCGGTCGACGACGTCCGAGAGCGAGTCGGTGCAAATCAAAGCCACTGCGATCGTCTTCCCGACGTGGGACCCGAACAACTTCTCCAAAGATGACATCGCGTTGCTCAAGCTCGAAACTCCGGTGGACTTCCAGCGATTTCCCCACATCCGTCCCATCTGCCTTTCCTCCAGCGCCATTCCCGTTGCGGGAGAAACGGTCACGGTCGCTGGGTGGGGCCGGACGAACGAGGGTGGAACGAGTGAGTCCATCTCTCCATGGATGAAACCGCAAGAAGACATTTGCTGGTGTTCAAACGGTCGGGTCGAATTTCAGCTGGACCTGTCTCGGAGAAGTTGATGGAAACTACGTTGCAGGTTATCAGTGAGGACACTTGCAGAGGTTTTTTCGGTTCCATCATCACCAACAATATCGTCTGTGCTCAGCAAGCTGGGAGAGACATCTGTCAGGTGAGTTTCTTGACAAGAATATTTTACCACAAATGTTAGGTTTTTCAAAGAGGTAATGGGAAAGTTTATTCTTCATCACAATGAATGCGCGCATACGTTGGTGTGACTATGTTGGTATGTTGGTATTCCAACGTCACATATCTGAACACGATCTTCACGGTCGGAAAGGGAATGACGCTCGGCAGAAACGGTCACGAATTTCGAAGATACCACAAAGTGCATCCGTTTCAGGAAAGAAGGACCTATTGAAGAAAGAACAATAACTTAGATTAATAAATAATAACTTAATAAATAAGAACTCTTGTCCTCCACTGCATTCAAGACCATGTCGCGGATGAGATGAGAAAGACGCATGAAGTATCACAATAATATGATTGAAAAAATTCAGAGCGATTTTTCACGACTAACGGAAGGGTGTAAGACGGACAGGAAGCCAGAGGTGATTCACGTGCTCGAAAGAGGTTCTTGCACCTCTTGGTCACATTTCCTGCATTGTATCTCTTAATCGTTACACTTATCTCTTACCGCGTCCACTTAGGATGTGAATGTATTTCTGTGCAGGGTGATTCTGGAGGTCCGTTGATGCAAAAGACAGCAACCGGGTTCTATCAGTGCGTCGGGGTCAACTCATTTGTGGCGACCGGCTGCCTGAGTCAATTTGGAGGCGGATTCACGAAAACAGCGAGTGGGTGGCTCGGATCTCGCTATCGGGTTTTTTCCTGGAGAAAAGAAATCATTTACTTCTTCTCATTCAGATTACGTGGACAGCTTCATCAAGGCCAACACCCAGGATGCCGTATGGTGCTCCGTGCCGTAACTCCTGATGTGCGTGACCAGAAATGGATCTACTACATCCATGAATAAAGAGCTGTACGCTCGATGCCGACTTGAAAACTTGCGCCGTTTTTACGTTATGATTGATTCTCTTGAACGAAACCAGCAAGATCAGCACTTTTGCTGATCCCGATGGACCCGATTCAAATCATGGCCCGCACCCGGTCGGAAACATGAATTTCAACTTAACATCATGGCCCGACCCGACTCCACCCGAGTAATGAGTGCTTTAACCTCTGCGCTTCCTCAGCATTAAAAGTTCCTTAGCAAAAAAAACAGGAGGCAGTCGAAAGCCAATTGACGTGAGAAAATTTCTTGAGAAAGAAACGGCTAAACAGATTTCTGTCTCGAGTGGCACAAACTGCCCATTGTCAGTCAAAAACTCTTCTTTCCTTTATTGGGTTGGCCGGAAAGTTCTTGCAGTTTCAGACAATATTTGAGGAAACAATTTTATTCAGCAACTATAGAATATCAGTCAACGACGTAAGCACCGTTGTGCTCCACTCCACCTACCAGCCAAGGAACGTATTCCGCCNCTCTCGACACGTTCGGCGATGTTAAATTGGGCGATGCAAACTGAGGGTGAAATTGCCCCTTGATATCACTAACTATCTTGAATCTTGAAGTTCCTCGACGCCGTGAAGAACTCATAGGTCACTGAAAGTAATCAATAAAATACGGTGCGTTTGCGGTTCAGAGAAATTTTTCCTTCAGCATATTAACGGAAAAACGGCAGAGTCGCTCTGAGAAGCGAAACGTGCGGATGAAGCAAAGAATATGTGGAATCGATCAGGGTGCCGGACACCATACGGCATCCCGGGTGTTGCTCCGGATGAAGCTGTTCGCGTAACCTGCAACGAAGAAAAACGCAATCAGGGAACGCACAAAGATTCGAGCGAGAGAGCCAGATATCGACTTCAGTCGACCGCTAACTTGTTGTTTTGGTGAACCCGCCGCCGTACTCGACTCGACAGTTTGCTTCCGAAGGACGTGACCCCGATCTCGAGGAAATAACCGGCGGGGGTTCTGTACAACAGTGGGCCGCCGGAATCCCCCTACCGAGAAAAATTAACAGGAATTCCGACATCACGGGATTCATAACGGTTTGATAATAAAAAAAGTCATTGCTCACATTGCAGGTGTTCTTGCCGGTCTCCTGCGCGCAGATGACGTTACTATCGACCACCGAGCCCCAAGTGCTACTGCAAGTTGTATCATTCAAGAGTTTCACGGTCGTTTCCATCAGAGTAGTTGGGAGGTTTCCACCTGGAGGATCCAAGCACCGGTTACCATCCTGGGCTGTTTATTACCTAAGACTATTCGTTGGAGGCATAAGCTCAAGAGCACACATTATGGAAGACCAGGAGTTTTTGAACCAATTGGGAAAAGAAGCAACGGAATGGGTTCTTCAGAATTGATGCATTCGAGACCTTTCAATAATGAAAAGCTGATGAAGATGAGGCTATTGTGACATAGCACTGATTACCATCGATTTGGGTAATGATTAGTGAAATTGTGCGTTGGTAAAAGTTAGGGTGGTGTAAATTCTACTTGGTTAATCGACTAAAGGATTAATCACGATTTGAAAAATTAGTAGAAATTAATCGAATTTTAAGCGATTCCCTTATAACCCTCTGAATTCCTCTTTTTCCTCTTGTAACTTCCGGTGATTCATAGTTTTGCAAACCGACCAAAAGCAAACGCTTAATCAAAAGAATGAAATGCAATGATGGCACAGTCGTTTTCGCACTGTTCACTCTTCGTCAAAACGACTTAGTATTTTTGGAAAAAGGGAACACACGAAATCAACGCCATCGCTTTCAAACTATTCCAACAAAAAAAGCTTCCTGACCCTTTCAAAATCATAAACGTACTGGTACGCATCCCGTGTCCTGCCTAGCCTACGGCCTTTAAAAGCATAACCTTGCAGGCCCAGCGCGTTAGGCTAAGGTAACAGCGGCATAAGACTGAGCGACAGAAAAGTCATTGGATGCGAGTGGGTTAAGAAAGTCGTAACGACGAAGCAGCTACGGAAAGCGCAGAAGGAAGAGGAGGTTTGGGCAGGGACACGGGACTGGAGAGTAAGGTATGTACGTGTATGTAAATCGGCGAACGTCTGTGGGAGCCACAGGAAACTAACCGAGAGGAATGCCCGAGGAGGAGGAGGGGGTAATGCCGGAGGCAGGCGAAAAAAGTTGAAACAAAATAGTGAAACCCTCTTCTATTCCTTGTTTGCTAATGCTTTTCCTCTTCCATCCTAAGTTGTTCGTGAGTCGTTAATGAATATTTAAATCTCCGTGCATTGAAATGCCACTACAGTATATACGTCCAATCGTTTACATAAAAAATTTTCACCCTTCCGTTATGATATGGCTAACTGGCTCAGGGTCTCAGTGCGATTCTTTGCTAACGTTTCATTATTTACCTGGCTAAGTTATAACGATTTCCTTTTCGAAACGAGTGTCGGAAAGGAAATAGTTTTCTTTTCGACATGCGTCACGTGTAGGATGAAACGGAGAATGTACGGATAGTAACTGCCATGTTAGCGACTGCATCGCCTTGAGTCGCTTCCTGAGGCTCGCCTAGGTTCAAGGAGAAAGCACAGGATCCATTAAAATTCCATTCATCGATTGCATTTTTTAAGCGATTGACAGCCCTAGTAAAAAAAAAAATAGGTTCTCAGTTGATTAGAGTTAGCAAGGATCATTCCTACGAGAAATAAAATTCGCGGACAACGTTGAGAAATTTTCGCTCCGTCCAACACCGCTCTAGATAGGCCTTTTAGCAACATCTCGAGAAGAGATCCGCAGTTAATTTGTGAACGATTCCATGCACGGCAAGCGCCGACAAATTCTCGTAATATTATCCTACTTCCCCTGCTAACAAATCTCTGGTATCGCCTGGATCCCTCACCGAAAGCCAGACGACCCCATCCTACAATCGCGACAGTCTCTCCTGCAGCTGGGAAAATGCTCGAGGAGAGACACACGGGACGGATGTGCGGGTATCTCTGGAAGTCCACCGGAGATTGAAGTTTCAACAGGGCGATGTCATTCCGGTAGAAAACATTAGGATCCCATGTTGAATAGACGATGGCAGTGGCCGGAATTTATATGGACACGCTCTTGGTTGTACTCGATCTGTCCAGATCCCCAAGGTTCACGTAGAAGGTCGCCGTCGAGGCACTGCAGGAAAAGGTAAACAAAGTCAATATGGATAATAAGTAGATACGCTTTAGTTCCTCATGAGAATACGCCCACTTTGAGCCTAGGCAATGAGCAGCAGAGAGGACATATCGATCGTTGATGAGGGCTCCACCGCAGCTGAACACCCCTGGGCCACTCCCCATCCATGCCATCCAGGGATATTTTCCCTGATTGGGAACGGGAGTACCGCCGGTGATTCGGTCCAAATCTGTCTGTTAGATTTGCGAATGGATCGGCACTTGGTTGATTCTCAGCCCTCTTGCTGCTTCGGGAAATCCCGCAATCTAGGGTACGATGTCGAATGGGGCAATCGCATTACGACTATGATTTAAACCTGTCTTGAGTAAATAGTGTGATAACTATCTTTATCTATACGTACTACAGGGAGGTCGTGGTGTCGTTGTGGGCGGCTGCGCAGCACCTGGAAAATGTGACGAAAAAAGCAACTCGAGATACTTAATGTAACCTTGGCAGGAAATAGAGTTACGTTACATTGCAAAAGCATCGTATTAATCAAATCCATTGATCAATCCCGATATATTTTTCACGCAATTGAAGAAAATTTGAGCTGCTAATGGCTACCTGAATCGTTGGGCAAAAATTTTAAATCTGGCTTGATCAATTCCGTTAAAACCTGCCATATCTCGAAGCAACGGTGAACCGACCACAAGTAACGGTGCATTTGAATCCGGGTCCGCTCGCCATGATGGCGTAGAGGATCACGCTCAGGGACGTCCCCACATTCACCGGATTCAGAAGGTTGGTTGCTGATCCACAGAGTCTGAAAATGAAAGCGTTTTCATGTCAGTCGGATAGTTTTCTGAACATGCGTCCAAAATTCTTGCATTGCATCTCTTACTGATTATTTTTATAGTTGAAGGCAGACTGACAACATTGGGCGCTGGACGCAAGTTGGAAAGAGGAGCATTGGAGCGTCATCGCAGTGGGACACTGCATTGAAGCATGATGTGACGTATAAGACATGTGACAAGAAGACGAGAGCATGCAGGGTGAAGGAACGTACCGAGTAACTCCAGCTGCAAAAGTGTAAAAAACGGGTGGTTTTGAGGGAAGTTCTGGCTGATGAGAGGATAGGACGCTCCTCGAGAGAGGCCCACACTGGTTCCACACGACAGAGTCTGCCGCTTCCCTGCGACAGAAACTTGGTTAGGATGGTCAGGATATCAAAACGAGTATTGAGGGTCGAGACCAGGAATACCTGGCAGCATCTTTATCGAAGTCAGGAACTTTCGTAAATCCTCAACACCGACCTCCTCGCCCTGCGGAAGCGGAGAAAAGCATGGAAAATGTTGACACATCGGGAGGACTTCATTCCCCAATGGACAATGAAAGGGAAGTGACCTGTACATTGGAGAGGACCAAAAGCGAAAGGCAGACTGTGATGACAGACACCTCCATTCTGGGATCGTCGTTTGTGCCGTTGGACCGGTCTGATGTCGTGGCTCATCAAGACTCGTACATTTATACCCATGATCCTAACCATTGGGAAGAAAGCTCTAGAACATGCGCTTTGACATTTTGCGCAGGTGCGTTCTGTGAAGAGAAAAATACCACGTGCGCAATATAGCACAATTTTTTCTTTGTCCTCTGCGTCATCCCGATACAGGAAAGACCCCATATTTCAGGAAAGAGTGTCCGGAAAGTTCTTTTTTTCTAGGTTTCTCCAAGCTGAGTGACGTCAGCTGAGTAACTCAAAGGTCATCCTTCGACATTGTCTTTCCTTCCACGTTAATGGTGACTTTCCCACGATGAAGGTCTGGGAAAGAGTTCAACACGCTAATGTTCCGTGCTGAAATTAATATTACTTCTTCTTCACGCTTAAGACCTTCCAGCAGCGTGCTAGGTTCATCAGTAGTTAGTCGGGTTTTCTCACAATGTCTTTCTATTTCCCAACTGAATTCATTGCCCAATTGCTCGAGGACTCTTCGCGACTGTACAAGGGAAAGTATATTTTGCCTCTGAGTAGAATCCTTTAAAAAAAATTTTCCCTGAGGTAAATTACCGACGGTGAAACTGATGTAAAAACCCGGTTTTCCCCCATCTCTCAACCTGTCAGAAGACCCTTCAGGTAAAAATTAGGGGGAAAAGCGGTAAAATTGGGACGAACGAGGGGGTAACGTTTTGTATTGGGGAAACCGTTGATCAAAGTTCGTACGTGAAAATGGGAAACTTTTCCAGTGCCTAAGTGGATATTTCGGACATTTTCGTGGCCAAAACTCCCTCATTTTGGGGAGTGGGGCAGCGGCTTTTACTGTTGCACGGTCCATCACTCGACTCATCAGTTGAAATTTGAAGCCTGTACCTCTCGCCTGGTTTCCCCATGGCACCGCCATCCACCTCCCCGGCGCTGACTGAAGTAGCTTCTCTGGACGAGAAGGCTGAAGGGAAGGAAAGCAAACAGCTGTCGGATCGCATGCTGTAGAGCGAGTTGGACTTTAAAGGGACGTGCTCTGAGGGGGATGCATCATCGGGCATGTCTCACCCTCGGACAGATGTTCTGGCCCAGACCCATTTTGATCGGTTTGCATGCCAGAACCCTTCGGCATATTTGATCGAGAATCATGCCGCCTTAACCCGAGGTTCCAGACCTTCCAGCCGATGCCTTTCTGTCAGGCTTTGCGGAAGGACATAGGTTCATGCGAAAGGACATTGGTTCATGCGAAAGGACATTGGTTCATGCGAAAGGACATTGGTTCATGCGAAAGGGTACGCTTATGAATGCGTAGGCGTTGCATGTATTTCTGTTGCAAGAAAGTAAGATTTTCCCTCGAGATGGCTATTTAATGTCGCTATAACCAAGCCACTTGGCTGAGGCCTATGCCATTTCGATGCACACACTCCCTGCACCGGAATGGCGACGTTAATAGCTATCGACTGCATTTACGAAATTACGCATCTTCTCGTGGACGATTGAATCCAGCCTTAAATTAAGTTCGAAAAAAGAGACCGGACAGTCCGCGCGAGCTCCAGCCTCTCAAGTCCCGATTTTCTGTGTAATCTCGATCTGCAAAAAAAATGTTAAGAAACGGTGCGATGCCTTTTATCCACGGATGAAGGAAATTATCGTTGAAACGCATGAGTGAACCCTCCCAAAAACAGAGAGGACCCATAGATGCTGCACGACCTCAACAGTCATCGTGAAAGCGCGCTTCTCCAATTTTTCCAAAAAATTATTTATTATTTCTCCCTCTCTTTCCTGAATCCCTGGCCTCAGCGGAAGTTAAATAATTTCAGCTAAGAAATATAAGCGAATATATAATATATAAAAAATGGATATTCACTATTTTACTCCATACTTTCTTGATGGCGTTCCTCCTAAGTTTCTCTCCAAGATATAGATAATTTTCTCATCGATTGAGGTAATTCCCTTTCCATGTGGAGAAGGAAAAGTCCATCACGACACATACCTGCTAAATGACTGTGCCTGCGATATGCCCAGGTGCGTTCCCTGCTACGCGGAGTGCATTAGAGCACATGGATTTTGCTCGCCAGATAACTGGATTTTGACATGGCGACCGGCTAACCAGCAGCAGAGCTGTGCTCGTGTCAAACGCGGACTTTCCCGTAAGAGGGCAGGTCGAAGGACGGCGCCAACTTTACATCCTGAAGAAAATGTGGATTGGAAGCGGAAAGAGACCGCGTGGAACTCGACGTGACGGCGAGCTTCAGAAGTAGAGTCGAAACTCGACGAGAAAATAAACGTGGGAAGAGATTTTCGATGCGAGCACGGCTGAGCAAGAGGGAGGCAGGGGAGGTCCCACGCTCGCGCTCTTCCCGGTGCGTATATGTCGTCCGCCGTGCACGTCGTCCGTTGCACATGTCGAACGTACGAGACAACGCTGCTCTCTTCTGTACGGGGAAGGTCTCCGGAAACAGTGACTTCTAGCCTCATTATTTGTGAACGTACTGGAGCAATTTTCGCAAGAATTTCACGAGTTTGTTTCAACCGATTCTCAAAATTGCATTCGAAAATGTTTCGACCGAAGCAATCACCGAGAAGGCAGTCGTGGATAAACGAAGAAGAACTTCTGCCCGGTCATGGAAGCCCCCACGGCCAGCCTCTCCCGTTTCGATTCGCATTTTTGGGCCGATCGTCTCTTGCCGACGGTTTCTCATCGACTTGCAAAGAAACTCATGGGAAAAGGCTTGAGTCAAGCAGTATCCACAGAAATAGTTTTCCCGAAATTCTTTCAGAATTTTTTTTCCGGTTTCCGTCAGCCTGATTGTGCACCAACGACAAGACAAAGTAGCTCAAGTGTATCCAACATCGTACTAGACGATATTCAACGCCGAGCCATTCGAAATGGAGAACTCCCTCAAAAACGGTACGAAGCGGCGAGAAGGTTGAGCATTACACTCTTAGAAAAAGAGGAGCGATTTTTCTCGAAAAAGAGAGCTAACTCCAGTTTCACCCCCTTTCAATCTGGGAAAGGAGCAAATTTACTCCCATCACCAATGAGTAAAATTGCTCTTCTCTGTGAGTAAAAACGCTCCCATCAGGAAGTGATAGGGTTGTCATGCAAATGCGAAAGTTTTCATTTATAGTGTGTGTCACTCTCGCTCTCATACGGGCGTTGACCTACCTCTACTTGTACTGAACACAGCACATGTCAGAGGATGGACCAAAGACCTTATACTAAGAAGACTGGACACTCTGCGCGAAAGCAGGGTAACCGCAATGGCGGTCTATGCCCTGGTGGTTGGCCCTCGAACTAATGTCAACGCTTCCTGGAGCAGTGCGCTAGTGTCTCTTGAACGAATTCGCGCCCGAAGTATGACGCCATTCCTATTACGCGTGACTGATTGACATGTCTGGCGGAAAACGATGAAGAGGAGTTGGGAAAACAATGTTCGGAGAATCTCCCCGGGGGGGCTAGGATTCTTGAATTCAGACAGAATTGCAAGACGATGCATGCTGCGTAAGTTACCTATGTAACAAGGAATCCGTTTATTTTTTGTTAATTTACGAACTGCATTATTTTCATGAACTGGAGATCTCTGAATCCCAATAGCAATCTTATCTTTTGCCGAGAACATTTTGGCTTAGCTGCCAGCAAGAATGTGTGCGAGTAGTGCCAGCTGTAACCCAAATGGACCTCAAGAACATCTAATCCAATCTGATATCTAATACTTTAATTGGAAGAGACCGAACGTTGAGTCGGCCGCCACTCCTAACGCGCGAGGCCTACGATGCCAAGCCATTCCAAGCCATCCAAGGCCTAATGCGCTAGGCCTTCAAGGCTCTACCATTCTGGGCCATAGGCTAGGCTATACAAATTGAAAGAGGCCGAAAGCGATAGCGAATGGCTGTCACCCACCTGCGGCCTAACACGCAGGGCCTATGCCATTCTAGGCCATAAAAATCTTGGTGTACTTTTAATCTATTACTCGGCCGGCGTAGCGGCCGCAGGCCGCTCGAGTACGGCTGTAAATCCAAAGCGAACCTGCGAGATAATTATCCACAGCCTGTCTTTGTCCCTTCAAATTGAAGCCATCCCATTCTAACAGACATGTCAATCCGAGACGCGAAAATGTTGACCTTTTCGTTAGGGTTATTGAGGTCACACAGCATTTTACTTCATTCGCCTGTTACATTTATGTAAAGCCATGACCATAGGCCTAGTGCAAAGCNGTGCTCACTTTTTACTCCCCAAACGAATTTTCTAAGAGTGTATGGCTCGACCTCGTCTCGACCGGGGAGGACAGCAGGGTTAGGTTGAATTTTTTTTTAAACCATGCCCAGTGCTTATTCCTTGGCGTAAATGGCGTCCAGCACCATTTACGATTCTGTACCCATTACGAATGATCTTGCTAGTCGCGTTGGACAGATGCGCCTCCACGCACGTCTTCACGTAAGGGTTAGAGTGGAGGGTG